CACTTATTATTGTTTGTCTTTGGTCATAGCCATCCTAGTGGTTGGGAAGTAGTGGCTCATTATGGTTTTGATTTGCATTTTCCTAATGACTAGTGATGTTGAGCATATTTTTATGTGCTTATTACTACTTTATATCTCTTTGGAGAAGTGTTTATTCTGATTCTTTGCCCATTTTTAAATTGGGTTGTCTTTTTATTATTGAATTATAAGAGTTCTTTATATATTCTAGGTACAGGTCTTATGTGTTGCAAATATTTTTTTCCCATTCTGTGGGGTTTTCTTTTCACTTTTTGATGGCATCCGGTGAGGTATAAAACATTTTTAATTCTGATGAAGTTCACTTTATATATCTTTTTATTTTGTCACTTGTGCTTTTGGTATCACATTTAAGAAGACTTTACCTAATCCAAGCTCATGAGGATTTACTTCTGTATTATGCTTGTTCTTGAACGTCATATAAGTGGAAACATATAGTATGTACTCTTTTGCATCTGGCTTCTTTCACTCAACTTGATGTTTATAAGATTCATCCACATTAGTGTATGTATCAGCAGTTTGTTTATTTTTGATAAATTGATAGTAGTATTGAGTTTATTTTTATTTGATGAGTAGTATTGCAGTGAATGAATATATCACAACTTCATTATTTATTTTCTGGCTGTTGAGGTTGTTTCTGTGTTTTGCCTATTAAGAATAAAACGTCTATGGACTTCAACTGCAAGTCTTTTTGTGGACACGTTTTCATTTCTGTTGCTGGGTCATATGAAAATGTATTTAAACTTTATAAAGAATTGCCAAACAGTTCTTCAAATTCTTCAAAGTGGTTGAACTGTTATATACTCTTGATGTCAGTATTTGAGTTACAATTGTTCCCATCCTGGGCAACACTTGGTGTGTCATTCTAATGTGTCCATAGTGTGATTTTAACTTGCATTTCCTGATTACTGATGATGTTGAACGCTCAATTGCTTCTTGGCCACTTGATTATCCTGTTTTGGAAATTGTGTCAGTTTAAGTCTTTTACTCATTTAAAAATTGTGTTATTTGCCTTCTTAATTATTGATTTTAAGGGTTCTTCATATATTCTGGATACTAGTCTTTTGTCAGTAATATATGTTGAAAAAATGTTTTTTCAGTTATGGCTTACCTTTTTATTTTCTTAATGGTATCTTTTGAAGGCTAGAGCATTTTAAGTTTGAAGTCCAATTTATTTTTTAATCATTTTTTCTTTTATGGTTAATATTTCTTTTTGTTCCATTAACAAATTTTGCCTACTCCAAGGTTGTGAAGACTTTTTCCTGTTTTCTTCAAGGTCTTTTACAGTTTAGCTTTTATATTCAGCTCCTATTGTCCATTTTGAGTCATTTTTATATATCATGTGAGTTAAGACAGGGACAATATCTTTAATAATGTGATGCCTTTACTTGGAATATTTCCTTTGTAAATATTTCTCACAATTTTGTATGTTTGTATATGTTATTTCAGTTTTCCTCTGAAGGTGAACTGCTTAGCCTTCTTCTCTAACCCACCCATGAGTTTCACTTGGCATTTCCTATTCATCCTTAAAGTTGCAATTTGGCAATGTGAGACCATTCTGACTCTCTAAAAGCCTTCTGTTTAGGTACCTTTTTATTTATACTACCATTGTATCTCAAACTTATGTTTAGCTTAGGAGCCATCATTATGTTCTTTTAAAGTGAATGTCTCTCTGTTGATGGCAATGATACAGTTAATTATTTGGCAGATAGCAAGCATTCAATGAATAATTAAGTGAAACGAAGAACTTAGGTTCAGGTTATTTTAGTAAAATTTGTTTCTCTATTCCATTTGGAATTTATAGGGTTTAGAGTCATATATAAAATTACTTACGTACAATGATTTTTCCATAAGATATATTATGGACTTACTGAAATAATATCCATGGGGAAAAATACTTAAAGTAAAACATCTTTAATTATGTTTTTCTAATAAAGAATATTTATGGCAATATTTGACCCTTAATTTGACTGCTTTCTACATTTTTCTGTTTCTAGCAATATTGGGAACATCTCATTTAAATTATTGTTGCCATGAAAATGTATTATATTATTCCGTGAATAAAGGTAGTAGTTGTTCAATTTATATTATTGTTATTGAACATGACATCTTGAATTCGAAGGCTTTTTAACATGAGGGTTTTCATTTTACATCAATTCAGTCAATATTTTATGTTATTTACACTGAGCTAAAATGCTTTTAGAGATATCAAGATGAGTAAGATATAAATCTGTTTCTCAAAGGGTATTTCTTTCTATAATCTGGTAAATAGTATAATTTTTTTCTTTATTTACTTGAGAGGGAGAGGGAGAGGGAGAGAGAGAGAAACATCGATGAGAGAGAACATCACTTTGCTGCCTCTTGCATGCCTCCCACTGGGGATTGGGCCCACAACCTGGACATGTGCCCTGACCGGAAATTGAACCAGTGACCTCCTGGTGCATGGGTTTGATGTTCAACTACTGAGCCACACTGGCTGGGCTGTATTAGTCTTTAGTATATCATAAATTAGTATTGGGAGCATTTCTTGTACCTTTAGCATACAACTTTTTTTTTAAATGTGTTTGAGCCCAGCCAGTATAGCTCAGTGGTTGAGCATTGACCCATGCACCAGGAGGTCACCGGTTCGATTCCCAGTCAAGGTATATGCCCAGGTTGTGGGCCTGATCCCCAGTCAGGGGCATGCAGGAGGCAGCCAATCGATGTTTCTATCTCTCCCCCCTCTCCCTTCCTCTCTCTCTAAAATCAATAAAGAAAAAAAATTTTAATAAAAAAATGTAGCCCTGGCTGGTTTGGTTCAGCGGTTAGAGCGTGAGCCTGCAGTCCAGAGAGACCCGGGTTCGGTTCCCGCTAAGGGCATGTACCTTGGTTGCAGTTTGTCCCCAGCCCTGGTTGGTTGTTTGGGTGGCAGCCACTCGATGTGTCCCTTTCACGATGATGTTTCTCTCTCTCTCTCTTTTCCTCTCCCTCCCTCCCGCTCTACCTGAACAAAAAATGGAAAAATGTCCTTGGGTAAGGATAAAAAAATAAATAAATAAATAAATAAAAATGTATTTAAATTATCTTATTAAATTTGGTACAATAATTCAAAAAACAACATTCATAAATACAATAACATATTTTAATAGTAATCTTTCAACTATAATGCATGTGGATAACAAGTTTGTACTCATACAAAGGTGTTAATTAGTGAACAGCGAACCTTTGCCAATTATTGACCCAGTCTTCTCTAATTATTATATGAATCATTCTGATGAAGTCTAGTTTATAACTAATGATATACTTTTTTTTTTTTTTTTTATCCTCACCCGAGGACATTTTTCCATTTTTTGTTCAGGTAGAGTGGGGGAGGAGAGAGAGGAACAGAGAGAGAGAGAGAAACATCGATGTGAAAGGGACACATCGAGTGGCTGCCACCCGCACAACCGACCAGGGTCGGGGACAAACTGCAACCGAGGTACATGCCCTTAGCGGGAACCGAACCCGGGTCTCTCAGGACCGCAGGCCGACGCTCTAACCGCTGAGCCAAACTGGCCAGGGCGATACACTTTTTTTGTTTTGTTAATCCTCACCTGAGGATTTTTTTTTATTGATTTTTGTTTTAGAGCATAAATGAGGGAGGGAGAAAGAGAGGAAGGGAGGGAGAACATACAACTTTCTGAAGAAGTTCTGGAAGTGAGGAGTAACCATGTTCAATACACAAATAGATGTTTTAGGACCCTAATTAGAATGACATACAATTTACATCTTTATAATGATAGAGCCTCATTTTCCAATCTTTCTTTATAGTCTGTGTATATGTGAAAGAGATAATGGATTTGTTATTGTGATGAGTCCTGGAATGGATCTCTAAAATTATTTTAATCCATCTTTCTACAGATAAGGAAGAGACCTAATACAGGGTTGCAAACTCAAAGGCCAACAGGACTTTCTGAATGAAGAGGTCTCAGTTTGACAGTGTGAGCCCACTGATAAATAACAGCTGTTAGTTGGCCTGAGTTTTTGGGAGATTGAGTTTATTAAAGCTCCTGCTCCCTACACCCTGTTGTTCATATGTAGGATTATAGGCCCGATTTTGCCTTATTTTATAAGAGAATCCAGAATTATACATACATACAAATGTATATGTATATAAACAAAAAATCAAATCTTCCAATTTTATTATTAGTATTATTCAGGTATTTTTTTTTGTTGTTGTTTTATAAAAAATTGCATGGGCCAAACAAAACACTTTTTGTTTTAGGCAGATTAGTTATACATGGGTGAAGCAAAATGAAAAAAGAGAAGGGATTTGGTTAATTTGTGTTTTTTTCTTACTTTTTTTTTTATAGCCCTGGACACATTGTAAACATAATAGGATTAGTTCTTCGATAGAATTTGTTATAGCTCTTGCAAGTATAGTTTTGTTATGTTTTTTTCTGAAGTCCTTCCAACCACTTTTCCCACCAGATTTCCTCTAATTAGAATTTTAATTGGAGATGAAGGGAAATTATGATGCAATTTATGGGACTAAAATATTTAACATAATTTGCTATTTCAATTTTTTTTTTAATCCTCACCTGAGGACATTTTTCCATTGATTTATTTAGATAGAGTGGAAGGGAGGGAGGGAGAGACAGAGAAACATCGATGTGAGAGAGACACACTGGCTGGCTGCCTCCTGCATGACCCCGACTAGAGCTGGGTATGTGCCCTTGACCAGGAATAGAACCTGTGACCTTTTGGTCTAAAGGCTGAGTCTCTAACAGCTGAGCCAAACCAGCCAGTGCTACTATTTCAATTTGTGAAATTACTATGCTTAGATGAAAAATACAGCAGTAATTTTATAGATGCCAAATATTATTAAAACTATGCATATTTTAAAACTATGGCTAAATTACTATAGTGCAACTCTAAGTATCATCATTACTTCATCTAGTATCACTGTGAGATTACATCTTGAGCAATTTTTAATTATGTTTTAGATTGTTAGAGACGGATAGTAAGTCTTTAAGATCTGTAAATGGGTCAAGAAGAAACAGTGGCTCCTCCCTTGTATCAAGTTCATCAGCCTCTAGCAACCTCAGCCACCTTGAAGAAGATTCTTGGATACTTTGGGGAAGAGTTGTTAATGAATGGGAAGATGTGCGAAAAAAGAAGGAAAAGCAAGTTAAGGTATTCATATTCTGTGTTGAAGTTCTTCCTCTTATCTCAAAAGGCATTAGGTATGAATTGATAGAAGATTAAAAATAAGGTACGAGTACTTTCCAAGTACTGTAATAAGGAAGTATCCTCTAGATGTTTTTATTTATTTGTGCCCACAGTTTTGATTTGTAGATATCAGTTGTTGTAGAAGTCTCCTAATTGTAGAAATATATGGGTGAAAATTATTTTAGAAATTAAATTCTATCATTTTATAAAATCAGAGTTGAAGTGATAGCCTATATCCTAGAATTATTAATATACCTTTTTTTTTGTTCCCTGATGACAACCCTCTATAAGATGATGGTTACTGTATTATAATTCACAGCTCTGCAGATTATCAAATCTTTAGTAACCTTTAGAGAGCATACTTTGAGTGAGATTATAAGAATTTATAACACTGTAGCCTCTCCTCCCTGACCAAAACAGGATACACTCAAGGGCCAAATCTTTGTTTTGGTTAAAAGGTTCCCTAGTCTTATTATAAAAGTAGTAGGTTTGTGAATTATAAATTTGATAAAGTCTTTTATTCAACTCCACTCCCCAATAAGTCTTCTTTAGCTTTCAAGGTCGGACACTTAAATAATTCATTTAAATTTTTGTACTTTTATTTTTAGGAACTTGTTCGTAAAGGGATACCCCACCATTTTAGAGCAATAGTTTGGCAACTTTTATGCAGTGCACAAAGTATGCCAATTAAGGATCAGTATTCAGAACTCCTGAAAATGACTTCGCCTTGTGAAAAATTGATCCGAAGGGACATTGCTAGAACTTATCCTGAACACAATTTTTTTAAGGAAAAAGATAGCTTTGGACAGGAGGTTTTATTTAATGTAATGAAGGTAAGTTCTATTATTTATTTTTGAAATGAAGTGAATTCTCAGAAGGTTGAAATTATACATTTTTCACAATGAAGCATGAACGCACCCCAAAAATCAGTTTTTTGGCAATAAATTTGGCTACATAAGCATAATTTTTGCTTTAATTTTGATGCTACATTACAGTCTAGTTTAGAGAACTTATTAGAAGATTCATTACACTGCTCAGTACTAGTTGGCCAAAATCAAATAACCTAAAAATTACTATACATTGAGAGATTCTCTATGAAAATGAATACTTCACCTTCTATGAGTTTCACTATCTGGGAGAAGATGTTTCTACTTGCTATGGTCAGTGTTGTTAAGAGCTCTTAGCCCTTGAAAGTGTGTAGCATTGTAATTTTTTCTTTAATATTGCCTTTTCCTTTTGCATAGTTTTTCCCCCTTCCAGCTACCTCTGTGAAATACTGATTTATTGTTAAAACATTTCAATTTTGCCAGCACTTTCTTTACCTTAACCTACTCTGGTTTTATCTTTATCATATTAAATGATTTTTTTTCTTTCTTTTTTTGGTTAATCCTCACCGGAGGACATTTTTCCATTGATTTTTAGATACAGTAGGAGGGAGGGAGAAAGAGACACACACACACACATTGATTGGTTGCTTTCCTCATGACCCTGACCAGGGCCAGAGATTGAACATGCAACCCAGGTCTGTGCCCTTGTCCGGGAATCAAACCTGTGCTTTTCCAGTTTTCAGGCCTATGTTCTAACCACTGACCCAAGCCGGGCAGGGCCATATTAAATTATTTTAAAGTGCTGTTAACTTTCCCGAGTACAAACTTCTTTATATTTTTGTTCTTAGGAGCTGTTAGTTTCTAACTGGGAAATTGTCAAAAGAAAATTTTATGTAGTAAATCATTTGCTTTTTAAATATTTATAGGATAACATCTACAACAAGCAAGTAAGAGCTTTTCTGAAAAATAAATGGTCTTTAATTTACTTGTTTCACTATGTTTAGGTTTTTAGAGAAGGTATGTTAAAGTATTTTGAACAATATTTTTTACTTTTTAGGCTTATTCTTTAGTGGATCGTGAGGTTGGTTACTGTCAAGGAAGTGCTTTTATAGTTGGATTGCTGCTTATGCAGGTAAGTTAGTACAAATATTAAATGTCCAATTAAGTTCTTTTTTTAAAACATTTTTTTTTAACTTTTTGTTCTTTATTGATTTTAGAGAGAGAGAAAGGGAGAGGGAGATAGAAACATGGATGAGAGAGAACATCGATTGGCCGTCTCTTGATGTTCTCTCTCATCCATGTTTCTATCTCTCTCTCCCTTCCTCGCTCTCTCTCAAATCAATAAGGAAAAAAAAATATATTAAAAACAAAACAAAACAATACCACAATTCTTGTTGTTATAGTTAATCTTTGCCCTTGACCAGGAATTGAACCAGAGACCCTTTGGTCCACAGGCCAACACTCTTAACCATTGAGTCAAACTGACCAGGGCAAATATCATAATATTTTAAACCTCCCCCAATTTTTTTTTCAATGCTATTACAGAGGGATAGGGGTAAAACCTTTTTTGATATGTTCATAAGAGAAGAAATTCTTATAAGATAAAAAAAAAGGAAGATTAATTGATTGATTCACACTGAAACTGGTGTGAGGGTTTGGGGGAGAAGTGGGAAGGGGAAGGTATAGTGGTAGGAGATGGGGTTGGAGAAGTAGTAAGAGGTCATGTCATATAAGACCTATAAGGATTTTGGCTTTTGAGGATATGTTTTGTTTTCAGCAGTGGAGTAAAATGATTAAAATTATGATGTGAAAGGATCACTCTGGCAGGTCTATGATGTATGGAGAACAGATTGTTGGGAAGGAAGTGCAAGGGAGGCAGCAAAGTGACCAGTGAGGAAGCTCCTGCAGTTGTCCAGACAATGGACTATTCCCTTGATGGTGGTTTGGACTAGGTGTTATGATGAGAAGTGATCGGTTCTTTAAATATTTTTAATAAAGAGCCAGCAGAATTTGCTGATAGATTGGATGTAGTGTAAAAGACAAAGGAAGATGTCCAGGCTGATAGAAAAGAGACTAAAATAAAAATGGGTACAGATGTGCAGGTACAATGGTCGATGTGGTGATGTGAGAATGGGATAATTATCTTTTAATTGCTTCTGTTTAAAAAAAATGAAATAGCAAACAAGGTTATTAACCTTGAGATGAATGGGGAGGAGATTTTGGAAGCTTGAGGACAGGGAAGAAAATTTGCAATGGTCTAGACTCTAGAATGAGAGTGATTGAATTACAGAAATAAAATATACCAGACAGCATTAAAGATCCACTAAGATTAGTGATCCTAAATTAAGTGAGACCAGCAAGCATGGATAAGTGTTTTTATTTTACCCAGACACTTTCCGCTGCTAAATGTAGTTTTAGAGTTGGATTTATCCAAAGGTAGAATTTTGCAGTTGGAATTATAACTGAGAGAGAAAGATAAAGTGATTGTGGATTTAAATGAGTGAATACATGTAACAGTGAAAACTGATCAATGGAGAGGTTAAATAATTTACAGAAGGTCATATAGCTGTTAGTGGGATTTGAACCTTAGATGGTGTGGCTCTAGAGCCTGAGCTAGTAACCGCCTGCCAAGATCATTTGAGCAAGGAAGTCAGAGATGTGCTAGGCCAGGGAATTAATCCATACGAAAACGAGTGGGGTTTGAGGGGATGACCCAGAGCTTTGTAGATGCTGCAGAAAAGAGGAGACATGGGTAATGTCTGCTGGTATGGGTTTCAAGCAGAATGGGAGTTAATCTGAAGAAGTGGCAATGAGGTTCAAGAAGGGACACACCTCTCTCCCCCAGGCTTCTTCCAGTACTTTGGGAGAGAAAACAGCCCCGTCAAGGGAGAGTCAGGTTTTGGTGTCAAACTGTTCTTAGGGAAAAGCCAGATTTCAGTTAGAGGAAGAAGGTGAAAGAACATTTGATAAAGAGATTGAGGATATAGTTAGGATATTTTATTGATGGCAGATTATGAGTTCCAGAAAGTGCTGCGGAAGAGGTTTTGGGAAGTTTGAGAGTGGGATTAGGTTAGGGGAGCCGTAGAATTACATAGGATGAGAATTCAGGGATGTCAAGTTTTTGTAGTGACTGACTGAAATCAGTGGGGCTGTAGGGCTTAAGAGGACTAATGAGGATGGTTTCCAAGGCAGAATTGTGGGTATGTGCATTATGAGGAAGGAAGGAAGGAAGGAAGGAAGGAAGGAAGGAGGGAGGGAGGGAGGGAGGGAAGGAAGGAAGGAGGGAAGGAGGGAGGGAGGGAAGGAGGGAGGGAGGGAAGGAGGGAGGGAGGTACAGGTTGTGCCAAGAGAATCTCTTGGCTCCTGTAATGGTTGTGTCAAGGCCAGGAAAAATGTGGTGTTATTAGAAGCAGTCTCAGTAAGGAGAATGCCTAGAGATTCTTTGAGGTTTTCTCTTTTGAAACACACTAGTATAATATGAGTGAATGAGCATTAGAAAATTTTATCTTTTTGAGAAAGATGACTTAATAATTTAAATAAATGTTATTTGCTTAAATATTATGAATATCTGTGCAGCTCTTTACAGAGCTTTTAAATTTATTCTTGTTTGGTTAATTTTCCAGTGAGGTACACATAAAATGTGAAGTTGATAGCATTAAACCCCAATTACAGATTCTTTGGAAACTTATTTTACAAGTTTTTGTAACACACCTTATCATTTCTGCTCTGAACCTTTAAAAGGCTTTCCATCTCACTTAAGGTAAAAGTTCAAATCCTTACAGTGGCCTCCAAAGTCCTGTGTTCCCTGTTATTTCTCCTCTACAACCTAATTACCACTTGTAACATTATTCCTAACTTTGTAGTCCCCTATATGCTGTTCCTTGAGCATGCTGATCTTGATTCCATTTCAAGTCCTTTGTATTATTCTCCCAGGACTGTTTTCTCAGTTGTTCTCTTCCTTTCTTCAGTATTCTGCTCAAATGTTATCTTATCAAGGCACTTTTCCCTGGCCTACCTACGTAAATAGCATCTCCCCAGCATTCCCCGTTACTTTACTTTGTTTTATTTTTGTAGTTCTCATCACCACCTCACTTATATTAATTGATTTCTTCCATGTATTGTCTCTCTCCCCCCACTAGAAAGAACAAATTCCTTGCCCTGGCTGGTTTGACTCAGCAGTTAGAGCGTCGGCATGCGGTCCAGAGAGACCCGGGTTCGGTTCCCACTAAGGGCGCATACCTTGGTTGCAGTTTGTCCCCAGCCCTAGTTGGTCATGCGGATGGCAGCCATTCGATGTGTCCCTTTCACATCAATGTTTCTCTCTCTCTCTCCCTCCCACTCTACCTGAACAAAAAATGGAAAAATGTTCTTGGGTGAGGATAAAAAATAATAATAATAATAAAAAATAAAATTGGTAAAGAAAAAATATTAAAAGAATTAAAAAAAAAGAACAAATTCCTTGAGGGTAGAGATTGTGATTATTTTGTTCACTGGTATATACCCAAAGAGAGAGAAGTATCTGGCTCTAAATGAATATTTGTTGGTAGAATTAATGAATTAGGCAAGTAAGACTATTAGTTTCAGAGATTGTTTAGATTTGTCTAACTTTCATTCACTGTGATAGACTGGAAGATTAAAACCTTCTGATTTCTAGTCTGTTACTCTTAACATTGTATCACATGGCCACTCAAAATAGTGTTTATCATTGGATGGGTACTTAGTTTAAATATACTTTAGCTTATTAGTGTATCACAGAACATTAACCTATGTTGCTTTTTTTCTCCTAATATAGATGCCAGAAGAAGAAGCTTTCTGTGTATTTGTTAAATTAATGCAAGATTATAGACTTCGTGAACTTTTTAAACCAAGTATGGCAGAATTGGGCCTTTGTATGTACCAGTTTGAATGCATGATACAGGTAAAAGTGTAGTGTTTTAAAAAAAGGCATATTGCCTTTATATTTTTGTCATCTTGGTTTGAGTGACACCTGAGCAAATTTAATGTTAAAAGCATTACAGCAATTGAAAACAAAAATAGTGTTTTAATCACATGATCATTTGTTGATTTATTAACACACAATTTAGACCTACTTTCCATTTAGGCACTATCTGCAGATATCTGTACTATTGCAGTCTGAAAATTGACTGCAGTTTTCATATTCAGACCTTCAGCATATGTGCTAAATGTATCATAACCCCATTGCCTACATGCATGCGTTTCCTTATTATGCCCTATTATATCCTATTATTGTTATGTAAACTATACTCTCTTACAGTAGCCCATGACATTATGGCGCTGACATCAGTTCACTTCCTTTGAGATTGCCTCTTCTGTCTCTTCCAATCCTCTCCCCTGCCTTTCCCTCCCTTTTTGTTTTCATTTTTTAATCTTCACCCGAGGACATTTTTCTATTTATCATCAGATAGAGTGGAAGGGAGGGGGAGGGGGGGAGACCGAGAGAGAGAGAGAGAGAGAGAGAGAGAAAGAGAGAAGCATCGATGTGAGAGGGACACATTGACCGGTTGCCTCCTGCATGACCTGACCAGGGCCGGGACGAACCGCAACCAAGGTATGTGCCCTTGACCAGAATCGAACCCCTAACTCACTGGTCCATAGGCCAATGCTCTAACCACTGCTCAGGGACCCTGCCTTTCCCTTTTATCTCAATTTTTAAAAACAATAATGTGTCCATCCTTTTCTTTTACTAGTTTATGACTCAAAGCCTAGTGACTACTTGGGGGTAAAAAGGAGAGGAATCAAAATTAAGTGAAAAATACCTTTGAAATATTTTATCTTTCTGGATTTAATTTTGATTTATATATATATATATATATATATATATATATATATATATAAAATCTTCTCAACTGAGGATATGTTTATTGATTTGAGAGAGAGAGGAAGGGAGATAGAGAGAGAGAAAAACAGTGATGTGAGAGAGAAACATAGATCAGTTGCCTCCCATATGTGCCCTGACCAGGGATTGAACCTGCAACCTTTTGGTGTATGGGATGATATTCCAACCAACTGAGACTCCTGGCCAGGGCTAATTTTTATATTTTACGTGTAAAAATATGTTTACTATATTGTCCTGTAAAATAATGGTGTAGGTATTCTCATTTACTTAAATGTCAAATTAGATAAGCAGAATTTAAGAATATAGGTTAATGATTGAGCTAGCATGAGAGCCATTTTTACCAGTCTCCTTTTCTCTGGTAACCTTACCCACAGGAAAAATTTTTAAATATCTGTTTTTATTGATTTTAGAGAGGGAGAGAGAAAACATCAATGTGAGTGAAACATGGATTGGCTGCTTCCTGCATGCCCCCTACTGGGAATTGAGCCCTCCACCCGGCATGTGCCCTGACCAGCAGTTGAACCCCATAATCTCTTGGTGCATGGGACAATGCTCAACTAACTGAGCCACAGGGGCCAGGGCACCCACAGGAATTTTCAAGTCCTCTATCTTTTTCTGTGTGTGATGAGAGGAAGGGAATATGAAAAAGGTTTTTACATTGAAAAGATGAAGTAGGTCTTGAGATGATTCTTAAATTCCTTTTCTAAAATAGTAAGCTTGTTTGGTATCAACCCTTAAATGCTCTTGGTTTATTTTCTGTTAATGTGTCGTTTATGTTTTGAATTACTAGAGTTTCTGAAGCATCTGTATTGTTGGTGAGAAGGTAGGCAGATAAAGTGAACAATGGTAGCTAGCACCTGAAAGTATTTAAAAATAGCATTTCTTTCCTTTTTAAAAATTTTTTGAAAAAGTACAGTTTATAGAAAATATCAGACACCCATCTACCACCTATCAACAAGGTTAAATAAATATAAAAGTTTTACTTACTTGCTTTAATTTTTCTTTTTATTAATAAATCAAATGTTATAGATACAGCCAAAGTCCTAACTCCACTTTCCCTTCTCAGGTAGTAACCGTTATCCTGAACATACCAATTTCTACATCTTAACTTTTCTGTATGATGCCTGATCTTATCTTGTGTTTGGTATAGGCTAATTTAGTGTATATGAAATGATCTGGTTTAAAATAATCAGCTTTACTTACTATATTTTAACTAATCATTTTCTTCTCTTTAGGAACATCTTCCAGAGCTCTTTGTACATTTTCAGTCTCAGAGTTTTCATACCTCAATGTATGCATCATCGTGGTTTCTGACTATCTTTCTAACAACTTTTCCACTACCAATTGCGACAAGGATATTTGATATCTTTATGTCTGAGGTAAGCTAATGGGCATACTGAGCTAGAGTAGAACAGTGAGAACAATAAAGGAGACTCATGTGTCCCATGCTAAACTGCTTCCATGGATTATTTCATTTAAACCTGTAACACCCCTATCAGGTGCCATTCATTTCCCCATTTCATAGATGAGGAAGTCAAGACTTACAGAAATGTTAAGTAACTAGCTTATCTATGGACACATAGCACATAAGTAGGTATAATAATCAGGATTCAAATCTAGGCAGTCAAAATCTGGAGCCTACACTCTTTTTTTTTCTTTTTAAACTTATCTTTATTGTTGAATGTATTACAGATGTCCTCCCCACCTTTTTTCGCCCCCATTAACCCGCTCCTCCCCACTTCCACCACACTCCTGCTTTCCCTACACAATTGTCTGTGTCCATTGGTTATGCATATATGTATAGAAGTTCTGTGGTTTATATCTTCTTGCCCACCCACCCTGCCATTTGAGGTTCCTCAGTCTAACAACCAATTTGTACTTAATTCCTTCACTTTTTCACCCATCCCCTCAACCCCCTACCATCTGGCAACCAACAAAAAGTTCTCATATCCATGAGTCTGTATTCTGCTTGCTCATTTTGTTTGTAGATTAAATTGCTGATAGATGTGTATTTATTGCCATTTTACTGTTTATATATTTTTTTCTTCTTCTTCAAGAAGACCCTTCAACATTTTATATAATACTGGTTTGGTGTTGATGAACTCTTTTAGCTTTTTCTTGCCTGGGAAACTCTTTTATATGTCCATTGATTCTAAATGATAGCTTTGCAGGATAGAGTAATCTTGGTCATAGGTCCTTTCTCTCTCTTTTTTTTTTGTTTTGTTGTTCAGATAGAGTGGGAGGGTGAGGGAGAGAGAGAAACATTGATGTGAAAGGTACACATCGAGTGGCTGCCACCCACACAACCCAACCAGGGCTGGGGACAAACTGCAACCAAGGTACATGCTCTTAGCGGGAACTGAACCCGGGTCTCTCTGGACCACAGGTCGATGCTCTCACCGCTGAGCCAAACTGGCCAGGGCTGTAGGTCCTTTCTTTTCATCACTTTGAATATCTCTTGCCACTACTTTCTGGCCTGCAAAGTTTCTTTTGAGAAATCAACTAACAGTCTTATGGGAGCTCCTTTGTAGGTAACAAACTGCTTTTCTCTTGCTGCTTTTAAGATTCTCTATTTGTCTTGAACCTTCTGCATTTTGATGATGATGTGTCTTGGTGTTGACCTCTTTTGGTTCATCTTGTTTGGGACTCTCTGTTTCCTGGACTTGTATGTCTGTTTTCTTCACCAAGTTAGGGAAGTTTTCTGTCATTATTTTTTCAATTAGGTTTTCAATTTCTTGCTTTCTGTCTTCTCCTTCTGGCACCCCCATGATGTGAATGTTGGTATGTTTGAAGTTGTCCCAGAAGCTCCTTATAATATCCTCATTTTTTTGGATTCATTTTTCTGATTGGGTGTTTTTTGCTTTTTTTGCTCTTGAGGTCCTTACTAAATTTCTTGAAATTCTCACTAAGTTTCTTGAGCATCCTTATAAACAGTGTTTTGAACTCTGCATCTGTTAGATTGCTTATCTCTGTTTCATGTAGTTCTTTTCCTGGAATTTTGTTCTATTTCATTTGGGACATGTTTCTTTGTCTCCTCATTTTGGCTGCCTCCCTGTGTTTGTTTCTATGTATTAGGTAGAGTTCCTATGTCTCCTAGGCTTTGTAGGATGGCTTATTATAGTAGGTATCCTGTAGGGCCCAGTAGCACAGCCTCTCTGATCACCCCAGCTGGGCCCTTGAGGTGCACTCCTTATGTGGACTGTCCACCTTTCTTGTAATTGAGTCTTGATTGCGGTTGGCATGTCAGTGGGAGGGAGGGATTTACTCAGGTGATCAGCTGCAAGGACTAGCTGTGTCCACTGACCACTGACCTCTGACTACCTTGGAGGATCAGCTGTGCAGGGGCCCACCACACAGAGCAATACTTACTTCAACAGGGCTCTGGTACCCACTGAGTCCATTCCTTGAGTGTATCACTTGTGGAGGTGGTTGGGTTGTGGTGCTTTGATGTGTTCTGGAGCTGTCCACTGGATGTGCTGGCTCTGGGGCAAGGTCAGCCACTGCCTGTGTTCTACCCAGAGCCACCAGGCATAAGCTACAAAGTCACCTGCAGATGGCTGCTTCTTGTGCTGGGCTTGGCCCAGGCAAAGCCAACCGGTGAACCAAGGCTGGCTGCTTCTAGTGCTAGGCCTGGGGCCACTTAGTGAGAGAGGTATGGGGCTCGCTGAGGCCAGATGCTGTTTGTTTGAGAGAATTTTGGAAAATCTGAAGCAGATCCAACACAGACCAATCCTATGGTAATGCCACTGGAAACAGGTTGGGTGGGCCTGAAAGTTGGGTGGGGCAGAGCCTCAGGAAATCATCAGGGTGGAGCAAACAGTGTGAGCCAGGTTGCTGGAGTCCCAGATATGGCGCCATCTACCTGACTTGGAGCCTATACTCTTAAACCTCTATATCACTTCCTGATTGATTTAATGAGAATTAGTGAGAGATAAAATTTGCCGTACAGTCAATATGTTCTAATGCATCTGTTATCCATAGAGCAAGAAGTAATGAATCTAATTAACCTAACTAAATTTCTTCTATTCCAGGAACACATTACGGGTAGCCCCTTTAATTGTCATTGACATGTAGTAGTGATCCTTTGTCTTATATATTTTGGATAAGAAAGTAGGAAGGTAAGGATAGGTGATTAGTGCTAGATAGCACCTGAAAGTAATATTAATATTTTAAATTACATCTTAATCAAACCTAATGTTAATTGTTATTAATTACATCTTTAGAAGATTAATTTGTATTACTTAGCTAAATTAGTTTAGTCTGGAGCTGGCAAACTATGATTTGGGTACTGGTTTACATGCCATATCTGTTCTACTTGTTTTTGTAAATAAAATTTTATTGGAACACAGCCATGCCCTTTTGGTGATGTGTTGTATATGTCTGCTTTTGTGCTACAGTGGCAGAGTTGAGTATTTGTGACAGTGACCATATGGTCCACAAAACCTAAAATATTTACTATCTGACCTTATGGAAAATGTTTGCCAACTTCTAACAGAAGCAGTTTAGATCCCTAAGTGTTTGCCTTATTATTCTTTTGAATGATTAGTTTGTGTTGATGGAAGAGTAAGACAAATTTGGCTTTATATAATTTGTTTCCCCAGGGTTTAGAAATAGTGTTTCGAGTAGGATTAGCACTTCTTCAAATGAATCAGGCAGAACTGATGCAACTTGACATGGAAGGGATGTTACAGGTACGTCAGTTCATGATTTCTTGAATGCCTTTAGAGTTTATTATTAATTAGTAAATAATAAAGGGCACTAAGTAGTTCTTATGTTTTTCTTTTATTGTTTTTAGCACTTTCAGAAGGTCATCCCACATCAGTTTGATGGAAGTCCAGACAAATTAATCCAGGCAGCTTACCAAGTCAAGTATAACTCAAAAAAAATGAAAAAGTAAGTATTTTATATTTTGGTTTTTAGTAATAGGGGTTGTTGGAGCATATAGGAAATTAAATAGAAGTGGTAAAACATTTTAATGATAAATGCAGTTTTTCTCTTCAGTTTATACAACTGTAGTATTTTAGTTGGTGGTAATGATTTTATTTATTTATTTAAATTTTATGTAATTTTTTTTTTTTTTTTATCACCATTTATCCCCTCTATGCCCTCTTTCACCTCCCTGTCCTTTCCCACCCCCCCATAATCACCACTCTGTTAGTCTGGTGGAAATGGTTTTTGTTTGTGTTTTTTAAAACATTTTTTAATTTTTCAATTATAGTTGAAATACAAGATTATATTAGTTTCAGATGTTAGATTTTGTAACAGTTACTAAATGATCATCTCCCCAAATGTCATACCTATCTGACACCATACCTAGTTATTAGAATATTACTGACTATATTTCCAATGCTGTACGTTACATCCCCATAACTATATTATAATGACTAATTTATACTTATAAATTTCTTCACCTTTTTCACCCATTCCCCTAAACACTCTTCCATCTGGCAACCATCAAAATGTTCTTTGTATCTATTTCTGTTCTGCTTGTTCATTTATTTTAATTTTTAGATTCAGTTGTTGATAGGTATATATTTATTGCTATTTTATTCATATTTTTATCTTTTTCTTAAAGAAGACCCTTTAACACAGTGGTTCTCAACCTTTCCAATGCTGCGACCCTTGAATACAGTTCTTCATGTTGTATGTGGGCGTATCTGCATGTGGGTGGACCTGCCTAGAGACGGATAGAGGAGCGGTGTCTCGGTTCCTAAGACCATCAGAAATATGTGTTTTCTGATGGCCTTACACAACCCCTGTGAAAGGGTCATTCGACCCCCAAAGGGGTCATGACCCACAGGTTGAGAACCATTGCTTTAACATTTTGTGTAATACTGGTTTGGTGGCAGTGAACTCCTTTTTCTTTTTCTTTTTCTTGTCTGGGAAACTCTTTATCAGCCATTTGATTCTAAATGATAGCTTTGCTTGTAGAGCAATCTTGGTTGTAGGTCCTTGCATTTCATCACTTTGAATATTTCTTTCCATTCCCTTCTGCCCTGCAAAGTTTGTGTTGAGAAATCAGTTGACAGTCTTATGATCACTCCCTTGTAGGTAACTAACTGCTTTTCTCTTGCTGCTTTTAAGATTCCCTCTTTGTTTTTAATCTTTGGCATTTTATTTATGATGTGTCGTGGTGTGGACCTCTTCGGATTCATCTTGTTTGGGATACTCTGTGCTTCCTGGACTTGTATGTCTATTTCTTTCATCAGGTAAGGAAAGTTTTCTGTCATTATTTTTTCAAATAGGTTTTCAATTTCTTGCTCCCTCTCATCTCCTTCTGACATCCCCGTGATGTGAATGTTGCTATGCTTGAAATTGTCCCAGAGGCTTCTTACACTATTTTCATATTTTTGTATTCTTCTTTTTTCTGTTCTGATTGGGTGCTTTTTGCTTCCTCATATTCCAAACCACTAATTTGATTCTTGGCATCCTCTACTCTACTGTTGATTCCTTGTAAATTACTCTTCATTTCAGTTAGTACATCTTACATTTCCGACTGGTTATTATGTTTTCTAAGTCTTTTTTCATGCTGTTGAAGTTGTCCCTAAGTTCTTTGAAGTTCTCAGTAAGTTTCTTAAGCATCCTTATAACCATTGTTTTGAATTCAGATCAGGTAGTTTGCTTGCTTTCATTTCATTTAGTTGTTTTTCTGAAGATTTCTCCTGTTCTTTCAGTTGTGACATGTTTCTTTTTCCATATTTTGGTTGCTTTCCTGTATTTGTTCTATGTATAGGTAGAACTGCTGTTTCTCCCAGACTTGTAGAGTGGCCTGGAGTACTAGGTGTCCTATAGGATCCAGTGGCGCAGCCTCCCCAGTCTCCTGAGCTGGGCACTCCAGGTGTGGCCCTATTTGGGCTGTGTGCACTGTCCTGTTGTAGTTGAGCCTTGATCACTGTTGGCATTACTGGCAAGGACTGATCCCCAGGTTAATCAGCTGTGAGGACCAGCTGCGACTACAGCCTAATAACTGCTGCGCAGGACTTGCTTCAGTGGGGCTTTTGTGCTCACCGAGTCCTCCCCTTGAGTGTGTTGCTCAAGAGATGGTAAAGTTGTAATCTGGCTGGGTCTGAAGCTGTCCACCAGGTGCACTGGCTCTGAGGCCTCCTGGGAGGAGCAAAGTCAGCCACTCCCAGTGCCCTGCCTGAGGCTCATCTGACCCAAGCCACTGATTGATCTGCAGATGGCTGCTACTTGTGATGGGCTTGGAGATACCCAGGAGAGGCCAAGCTGTGAACCAAGGCGGGACTGCCAGTAGTCCCAGTCCTGGGGCCACTTAGCAAGAGGTACAGAGCATGTTGAGGCCAGCTGCTGCTTGTTTGAGAGATTTTAAGAAAGTCTGAAGCATGAGGCAAGAGAGGCCAGCTCTGTGGAAAAGCCACTGGAAATGGCTTGGATGAGCCCACAAGTTGGATGGGGCAGGGTCATAGGGAATCGCTGGGAATCACCGGGGCAGGGTCATAGGGAATCGCTGGGAATCTCCAGGGCAGGGCAAACAGTGTGAGCCATTTCCATAGAGTCTCAGATATGGTGCCCCCCTGTCGTTGCTGTGGTGGGGAGGGCTCAGCAAAGGAATAATGGCCTCTGCCAGCACTTTTCTCTGGGAGAAAGCTGCCCCCCCAACTCTTGCCTGATGCCAGACAATTTAGTTCTCCCCCATATGTCCCTAGTTCCTTTCAGGCTGCTGCCCCAGTGCTAGAGCTCAGAGGGAGTGAGTCCGAGTAAATTTGTGGGCAGGACCTTTAAAAGGAACTGCCTGGGACTCCAACAGCTTCTTTATCACTCAGCCACAATCCCTGCTGGTTTTTACTGCCCGAAGTTATAAGGACTTCTCTTCTCGGCACTGGAACCCTGGGCTGAGGGGTCTAGTGTGGGGCTGGGAACCCTTGCTCCTCAGGGGGACCTCCACAGCCAGGATATCCCTCCTGATTAAAAACTGCCGTATGTGGCTGTAGGACCAGCCTGTTCAGTGCGGCATCTTTAATTCCCTAGTTGTAGGACTTCCATTCAGCTAGATTTCAAATGGTGTTGGATGATGGTTGTTCTGAAGATTAGTTGTGTTTTTGATGTGGTTATGGGAGGATTTTAGTACAGCATTTACCTATGCTGCCATTTTGACTGGAAGCCCCTGGTCCATGGTGGAAATGGTTTCAGTGTAACAAATTTAATATTAGAATCTCATACTGCTCTTTTTTTTTTTTTATCCTCACCCGAGGACATTTCTCCATTGTACAGATAGAGTGGGAGGGAGAGAGAGGAACAGAGAGAGAAACATCGATATGAAAGGGACATATCGAGTGGTTGCCACCCGCACGACCCAACCAGGGCCGGGGACAAACTGCAACCGAGGTACATGCCCTTAGCGGGAACCGAACCCGGGTCTTTCTGGACCGCAGGCTGACACTCTAACTGCTGAGCCAAACCGGCCAGGGCTCATACTGCTCTTAATAGCAATGCATGGGACCATAGTGGATTACCTTTAAAACTCCCCCTTCCCATTCCACATGGGTTAGAATTAGGAACCTGGTAAGTATATATGTGTGAATATGCTATTATTTTAAAAACCACTTTTATGGTGTGGTCCAGTTCACTGACATTCTTTTCCTCTCTGTTGACCCCAGAGTGTCATTTAAATTAAAGGTTAGCATAATAGCAAGAAAGGCATGAAATATGGATTAAGAACTTACATTTTTATTTATTTTATGTTACTTTCTAGTGAAACTTTTCTTGCTATGTATTTCATAGAAGATCAAGATAAGCAGTCAGCTCGTAAATACTAATTTTTGAAATATGCTAAAAGTGTTAATTAAGAATGACAACTCTGCCCTGGCTGGTTTGATTCAGTAGTTAGAGCATCGGCCCTCAGAACAAAGAGTCACAGGTTCAATTTCTGGTCAAGGGCATGTACCTGGGTTGCAGGTTTGATCCCCGGCCCTGATCGGGGTTGTATGGGAGGCAACCAATTTACATGTCTCTCTCACATTGATGTTTGTCTCTCTTTCGTCTCTCCCTCCCTCCCTTCCACTCCATCTAAAAATTAATGGAAAAATATCCTTGGGTGAGGATTAACACAGCAAAGAATGACAGCTCTTATTCTTCTAGATTTTAGTACTTAAATAAATCTTAGCCTGAAGTCATAGTTAGCATTCCTGACATTAGTCTCTATGGTCATAAAATGCTTTCAAATGATAGCAGTACTGTATGCTAACAGTTCTCAATATCTTGGCTGCTGCAACATGAAACTACATTAACATGGAGAACATACTTTTATGGATGTTCCTACTCCAGAAAGTATATTAGAATGCAAATGAGAATTATGTTATTAAAAATCATTGCAAAAAATAAAGTTAGTTGCAAAATTAAGTCAGTGTATGAGCTTCACCTATTACTATTAATAAATTACTTGTGAAATTCCTAATAACCACATTACACCATCATGTTGAGACATTATAAACCAAAAAGCTGATTTGTTCTGTAACTGATAAAAACCGTAAGGGGCCCTCTCAATTTCCTCTGCCTCTTGGGAAAACCATGATTAAATCACACTAGCCAGAAAGAAAATTTATTTTACTTTAGTAAAGGCGTATAGAGAACAAGATAACAGATTATCCTTTTAGATCTTATTTATCACAAGTATAATTCCATTTCTGAAATTTCAGTTATCCTACTTATCAAACTTCTGACCCTCTAGATCTTTTACTCACTCATATCATTTCTGTTATGCTTTGTCAAGGTCATCACTAGGTGGTAACTAATAACTTTCCTCTGGTCTGAATAAGTATACATCCTCTGATGTTTTGTACCCTATACCATGTAGCCAAGTGTTGGAGAAAATTGCAGGTAGCGAGATTCTGACAGTAAGGTGTGTCTACAGTGCCAACCCATGTATATTATTA